AGGTGTGTGTGTGTGTGTGTGTGTGTGTGTGTGTGTGTGTAAGAATGCTTAAGATCTACTCTCAGCAAATTTTAAGTCTATGTCAGGAACTTGTGAGGTCTTTGGCTGTGGCTTGTTTAGTCTCAGACGCATGCACTCTCTTTGCCCGATTCCCATTCTTTGAAATCAGTTATGTCCCTTTTACTTTTCTTGTGCACTTGAGATCCAGAGGGGTAAGTGTGTAGCTGTGGCCTTTCCCGAACGCATTCAATGGGGACACCTCTCTCTCAGGAGAAAAACCAGATGGCTGACTAAGAGGGACTTAGTTATGCTCTGTGTCTTTCCAGACTTTTGGGTCTCTCTCTCATTTTATTTTCTTTTATAAAACTGGATCTATACTAACATTGTTTTGTATCTTAATTTTTTTTTTCTACACCAACTTAGAACTTGGACATTTCACCTTGTTAATATATACAGTTCTGCTACACTTTTTTACTGGGATAAGATATCCTATATCATTTAATTTTGTTCATTTTTTTCTCTTTTAGTACCATCAACTACAGTAAGGACCTTCCCCTGGCCCAAGGAATCAAGTTTCAGTAAAGGTGCTTTAAACTGACATCACCTCCAGTCTTTCAGGCATTGTTGCAGCTCTTCTGAAGAAGACAAGAAAATTCAGATTTGCCTAGAACAAATGCATTATTTTGAATATGACAGTGGCTCACCTCTTATGCCTCTGAGGCCTCAGTCAAAAGACGTGTTTTGTTTTTTAAAAATAAAGATTGTGATGCCATGGCTGTATTGAGTAAAAGATAGATCAGGTAGATTTTTATGTTACTAGTAGTTACTGACTTCTTTAAAGTTTAGGATTATTTTATAGGTTAGAAAAAGTAGTACATTTAGGATTATTTTATAGGTTAGAAAAAGTAGTAGGGATTTGGGAAAACACCGAATATAATAGAGAAGAAAATAGAAGTCTCATCAGTAGATGCAGGAACGTCCCCTGAGCAGGTAAGGAAATCGGTGGTGAGCATTGGCTCACATTTCCCTCCTCAGCAGGTACTGGAGAGGGTGTGACTGAAGGGAGTGTGTCCCTTGTTTGTGGAGGACCATAGCACAGTATCCCTGTGGAATGACCTGCTGTTTAAGATGACTGAGGGCACTTCCAGCCATCTCGGCTTCTCTTGCTCAGGATGGCTTGTGTCACCAAAGAAGAAATTGGCAGGGTGGTTGTAGATTTTGCTCCTGTCCTAGAACCTGCACCTGCTGACGACTGCAGAATTCTATGCAAAGCTCTCCTGGAGTTCTTAGGCAGCCTCAGTCTGTTTTCTTGAGCTGTTAGGCTTCTGTAATTGCCCTTAGGTTTGTCCTCGGAGAATAACCATGTGTGTGACAGCATGTATTCATAGTGAACTCCGCATAATTCACTGTCTCTTTGCTGACGGTCCGCTTGCTTCTCTGGAGAAGCAGCCCAGGAGCGCCTGGAATGGTTCAGCTCGGGGCCCTGTGGAGCTCATGCCTTCTCCTGCAGTTCTGTCTTCACGGCAGCCCATGCTCCCCCGGTGGGTAGCAGCCACCACCCCCTCTACTCCTGCCAGACTGGACTGGGACAGAAGCCTTGGAAGAAGATGACATTTGTAGATGACCTGATGGGTCAGGACATATGGAAAGATTTAGACTACTGGCCAAGAGTTTGAGGTTGAGTCATGACAGAGAAGCAGGCAGATGAAAAAACCAAGCAATGATAAATTTATCAGGGAAGGAAAGGTATTCATAACATGCTCCTTGGCCAAGCTGTGACTAGTGTTCACCTAAGTGTGCCGTTGTCAACCTTGACTATTAATTAAGCCAAGCACTAACAGTAGACCTTCTGAGAGCATGTTGGCAGTAAGAACTCAGGGTTTGAGGGTAGGCTGGAAAGGCAGTTTTAGGTTCTGTAGTGGAAAATTAGTAATGCCTAAAATTACAAAAGCAAGAAGTAGCAACATAGGCTTATACAGATAGGTAAATTCTGAAAAAAATCATTGCTTCAGGGGAGGGCAAATTGGAGGTAGGGCACGGAGACTGGAGAGAGAGCTGTTTTTCATAAGTTTTAAAAAGATATCTGATTTTTTAAGTCAACAGGATGTGTAACTTAAAAACTAAAACCAGCAAAGAAGAAAGTGATGTTGAAGAATCAGGTGGTTGGAGTCCTACATTTCCAGGTCCCCTTCCCCCCACCTGCTTCCCCAGCGCACATACATGCAGTTATCTGCTCCCTGTTACTGCACTAGGATGCTTTTAAAACATCTCACTAAAAGATCATGCTGAAAGCCAAGTTTTCTTCTATTTTTGAAGTCCAAAATAGACTAGACTACCTTGTACTGATACATACATACATTGTAATGTAAATAGTTGCTTAAGAAAATCATGCCATTTGGGCATTTATTTTAAAAATCCTTGCTGTGGTTTTAAGTTGTAAGTCACAATGTTGGGTATTCTAGCCCTGTCTTCTTTAGTAACTGTAACACTGTCTGAAGAAAGTAAAGCACTATTTAAAACATTTTTAGGAACTATGTGATAATTGGCTATTTTCATTTTTGAAATTCTATGAGATTAATTTTGATTGAAATATTTTTGTATTCTGTTTTTTCCAAGCATATAATTTTTAAAATTTTTTAAACAAGTATTTTAAAATACAAGCTGTATCTGTGGTTTTGTTGTTAAATTTTTACATTTATAATGTCTCTCCAATTGGGTATTTAAGGAGACTCACCATCCTCCTGTGTATCTGCTAAACCCAGGCCGTGGTCATCAATTTCGAATAATAATCTACTGGTGAAAGAGGGTGACTGTTCGCTCTAATCTTAAGATATTTAAGTCAAATTAAACTGGTTCTGAAAGCTTTCTTTGAAACTAATCCACAATTTTTCTATACCTGTTTCTAGCAACAAGGACTTTTTTTGTCATAACGTTTATTTAAAAAATACTGCTTTTAAATTGGCCCTTTGTTCTTTTTTATTGACTTAATAAAAGTAAGTTACTAGTGTTTTTAACCACAGAAGTTAAAATGTACTTTTGTGTGTGTTATTACTGCCATTTGTTTTAAGGTGCTGGGAATCCTGTACTGCTGGTTACTGGTTATATTGAGTTATGTGTGACTATCCCTGTCTGCCTGCATCCAGTATTACGGTCATGCTATCAGTTCCCAGCCCCCACCGTGGACGTGAGGAGCAGTGGTTAGCATTTCCACTATATGGGGTGGTGATAATGCCCGTCGCACACAAAAGTAACAGTGCCTGGCAATGGTAAGAGTCAATAAATATTGGCTACTGTTATTAGGGTGTTTTCCACATTTTATAGTCTTAAATCTGTAAATGAAATTTAGATGCATTTTTCAGGTTTTTGAAAAGAAAGTTCTTTGAGATTTTTATTGAAATAATGTTAAATTTATAAATTAGGAAAGAACTAATTTATAATACTTAAATTTTAAAAAATCTAGGCCATATGTTTGTTGAATTCAAATATTTATTATTCTTAGCAAAATTCTTTTTAAGTGTATTCCTGTGTGTTTTATGGTTTGTTATTGTCAGCTGGATTTTTCTTTATGTGTAAATTGATGCAGAGGCAATTTACTTTCCAAGGGAGATTAGGTATGAAAATAGGAACACAAATCCACTAACTCCTAAGCATTATCTGTTTGCTTGTGGAAGTTTTCACTCTAGTAATTGCAGGATTCTAGAAATCCGGCCAGGAATCACATATTATGAAGTTGTCTTCACGATGTTGACCTGTAGGTGGCAGTGTTGCTCAGAGCAAGTGCCTCGGTTTGGCAGGGATATGAGTTGTGTCCACACTTTGGTGTCCTGGAAGTCACTGTGGAGAAGGTTTTGCGTTCAGCAGACAGATGTGCTAAACTCAGTGCCCCACTTATATCGGCTGTATTTCATTCCAGCACCATTAGTAACCCACCTCCCCTACCTTCCGTCTGACTACACAGATTACCTCTGTTGCAGTTGATTACTGTTCTTAGGTAAAACATAAGCCCCAAAATGTCAGAAAAAAGAATGGCTATAATTGCAGAGTAGTGTCTTTTAAATTAAGAAACTAATTCGGTTGTTGTATTTTCCATCCACTCTGCCTTCCCTGCAGTGAGCATATGTGTGAAGTTACTCCATTTTTGACAACTCCAGGGGATATTTTATTTTTCTTACACTATATTCTGGGTACTTTTCAAAGCACTTAACAAATACAAATCCATTTAATTCTCATAATAATTCTACAAAGTAGATACTATCATGGTCCTCATTTTACTAATGAGGAGACTGAGGTATGGAGAGGTTAAGCAACTTCGTCTGTTTCACAGCTGGTAAACGGTGGGGCTGTAATTTGCACCTGAACAGTCTGGCCCCGAGTTAGTTCTCTGGTGATGTGAACTGAGACTGGAACGCCTCCCTTCCTTGCCTGTCTGTCTCTCAACTGCTGATCTTTCCTTTTTTCTTTTGTAATGTTTTTATTATTGGCATAATTCACAAACTTAAAAATGCAAATACAATATGAAGAACTTTTTTTCGCCTAAAGTGAGACTATGTCGTTCACTGGATGCCGCATCACTTCCAGCTCTAGCGTATATTTCCCACAAACAAAGACGTTTTCCAGCATAACCATGTACAACCATCAGAATCAGGAAACCAATACTGATATGTTACTAACATAATTCAAAGATCCATTCAACTTTTGTCACTTGTGCCAGTAATGTCCTTTATAGCAAAAGGGGCCATGTTGTCAGATGTCCTTGGTTTCCTCTAGTCTCTTCTTGACTTTTATGATCTTGATACTTTGAGGACTACAGGCTACTCGTTTGGTAGGATGGTCCTCAACTTGGTGTTTCCTCATGATATGGTTCAGGTTGTGCATCTTAAGCAGCACATTTGCAGAAGTGATGCCATATTCCCCTAAATGTATCCTGCCGTGATGCCTGGTGGTGATTTTTCTGTTTCTCATGTTAACACTGATCTCTTGATTACATTGATGTCTGCCAGCTTTTTCCTTTGTAGTGTTTCTCCTTAGTCTTTGAGACAACCTAGATGTCCAGTTCTCCCTCAAATTTTCCATTCACTTATTTTATCTTCTATTTTCCTATTTTATCCAGTGAGTTATAATCCATTTATTTTTATTACTTATTTTGATGCTGCAAATGCATTTTGATGTCCCTCATTTGGCCAGCAGTATTCCTTTCAAGCCAACATCAGTGGGTTCAATTCAGTTTTTTTCCTTTCAATATTTGTAACTCTACATCTTATAGTAAGAAACCTGCCTCTCATTACCCTTGGTGCATTTTTCTCGTTGGAATAACGAATCTCCTGTCCTTGTAAGGACACCTCCCTCACCTCATTCTCATTCTGAGGGTACTGGTCTCGTCCCCGACATTAATGTCTTCCTCACCTAACTGAGGCACCAAATGCATAGCTGCCCCTACATGGGAACTTCCTTCTCACCCACCTGATGGCTTCAGGACTGAACTGTTCTGGAAGAAATGAGATAGAGAAAGAGGAACTGACCTTTCCTTAAATGTAGAATTTTGAGTCAGAATCAAAATGGTACTTGACTGTCTCCCACCCTGCTTGCTTGTCCAGGAGCTGAGATGCCTGGGGCTTCAGCTGGAAATACAAGTGGCACAGGTTTGGAAGGTGAAGCACCTGTGTTCTAGGCACAGCTCTGCTTCTAACGGGCTGAATGCTCTTAGAGAAATAATCTGACATCTCTGTGCCTTGGTGCTGTCATCTGTAAAATGAATAGGCTGGAGCAAATCTGAAATAGAAAGCTGGTATC